AGCCCGCCAGGCAGGCGCGCCCCCATCCACCCCCGCACCCACACCCACCCACACCCACATCCACACCCACCCACATCCACACCCAGACCCACCCACATCCACACCCACACCCACCCACACCCACACCCACACCGACACCCACACCCACACTCACACCCACTCACACCCACGCCCCGCCACACCCTTAGACTTATCACTTTTGTTATCAGAATGTATCTGAACGACACTCACAAAAACGACAAAATTCATATTTCTATCTTTTTTGTCAAGTTTCAAAGGAGAACAACATTTGATTAAGCCAAATTTTCTTGTAATACACCTGTTCCAAGAGGAGGAATTGAAAGTGTAAATAGTTTACCATTTGAATGATTATGCACTATTTCATTCTGTCGATTTTGAAATAAACCTGAACCACCATATTTAGGATAATCTGTGTTAAAAATTTCTATTGCATGTCGAATACGAGCTACATTAGGATCCGATCCTGGTAGAGGTATGTCATAAGATTTATATCCTCGATTTGAAAAATTATGAATAATGGCTATACGTCTATTATTATGAATACCACGATGATAGGCTACAATTAAATTTGGACCATATTCATAAATCATTGAAAAATCTTGTTCTCCATATTGCCAAAATTGTGGATGATCTATATAAAGATGATTTAAATCTCGAACACATTGTTGAATTTGACCATGTAATGTCGAAGAATTATCTAATGACCAATCCATACTTGGTAACTCTCGACAGAATCTTTGATACCAAGATATTGGTTGAGCAATTTCATCACCCATATGAATTAGATGACCACGACTTGGTGCACATATTTGCCATGCAAAAAAGTTTCTCAAATCCGAAAATTTATCCATGTCATTTCGAGCATATGAGACTAAATTCAATAAAATACAATTACTATTATGTGCTCCAGAATCCGTATCATCATGACTTAATGTAAGAATCATTTTATCATCACTCCATCGAGCCCAATGTAATACATCAAGTACTTTTTGTTTCCAATGTTGTGGTCTTTCAGCATAAGGTGTTCGAAGTAAATTTCTTGCATCATTACTCCAACCAATATTCCATTTTAAATCGAAATTCATATTTCTATTAAGATTTGGATAACCTTCAGTTTCTTCTGCAATACATAAAACACCAGGATAATGTCTATGAATTGTTTGATTGAGTTCACGTAAAAATGAAATAGCACTTGGAATATCTTGTTGATTACGTCGAATCATTTGACTAACAGCATCAAAACGAATTCCATCAATATGAAGTCGATCAATATAATAAAGAGCACTAGCAAATAAAAGTCGACGTGTTTCTTCTTTATTAAAATCAAAATAAAGTGTTCCCCATCGTGATGGACAACTTGCATGTAAATTTGTTCCATCATATTCATGTAATGAAACAGAAAAGTAATGAGATTGATGATCATGATGATAATGTGTTGGAATCCAATCAAGAATTACACCAATTCCGTTTTGATGTAAAAGATCTACTAAATATTTTAAATCATCACATGTACCACTATCACGGTAAGGAGCAAAATAATTAGCTATTTGATAACCACGTTCCCATTTACGAGCATGATCAAGTATTCCATACATTTCAACATGAGTAAATCCCATTTCTTGACAATAGATAACTAATTCAGGAGCAATTTGACGAAATTTGAATGGTTGATTTCGACCACTTTTCCAAGACTTTGCTTGAATTTCATAAATAGATAATGGTGATCGTAAAGGATCCGTTTGAAATCGATGTATCATCCAATTTCGATCACCCCATTGATAAATTGTTTCATCATGAACAACTGAATGAACTTGATTGACTTCTGGAATATGAACAACAGAAAAACTCACTGGATCTGTTCGTAACATGTATCTACCATGATAATCCTCAATAAGATAAAGATATGTTCGAGCAGGTTTCGCTTTATCTGTAACAGTTTCCCAAAGACCCTCAATAGTTCTTGTCATCTGTAATCGATGTTCTTCATTACCAAAAGCTGTTAAAACAACCCAAACATTTCTTGCATTAGGTGCATATAAACAAAAACTAGTCGTTTGACTATCCTTGTAATATTGTGCACCACGACTTTCGTAAAGTTTTGGATGAGTCATGACCTAAGCTGATTGTGAAGTTTTTTTTTTCAAATGAATTTGTCTGCAGATGTCACAACATTCAATTCAATATTTATATAAGCAAAAAAAATCCATCACATCTTTGACGCTATAATGACACATGTAAGAAAAATCCATATTCGTTGTTATTGTATTGCATGACTCATATATTTATTTCATTTGTTCTTTCAACATCAACCTGTAATGTTATCATGATGAATCATTATTTGTACTCTTTGACGAGAAGTAAAATTTATTTTTTGATTAACAATAAATATCTAATTTAGGTGAAAGTATTATGTTAAACGAAAAGCGCAATAATCTAAAAACTTTCCAGAAATATAAATAGTTTTCATTACTTTTGAGTGTTACATAATCATTTTTTCGTTCTTTATTGAATAACAATAACTGACGAGAATAACAGTTAGAAAATATCAGTAGACATAGTAACGGATACATTACATTTGAAATACAAACCCAACAGAATGATTTTGTTCGTTCGTCGTCTTCCTGTGTACAGAATAATATACAACAATTCTTTCAGTCTGTTGTTTACCAACAGATAAAACAGAGAATACTGCTTAAAATTACAAGAGCTAACAAGTACAAGTACTTGCTGTACTTGAACACAGTTTTCTATCGAATGAGGTCTATATCAAAAAAGCTTAAATGGATGGTTTTGTAGTCCTCAACGATATGAATAACATGACCCTAATGGGTCTGAACCGAGGAAGAACGACAGGTGTGGGTGTGGGTGTAGGTGTCGACTGTGGATCAAGAGATGATGAACGGACACTCACATCCACACCCACACCCAGCCACAACCTCACACCCAGACCCAACCCACACCCACACCCACACCCACCCACACCCACACCCACACCCACCCACACCCACACCCTGATCGTTAGTTCTCTTACTGATAAGATCAGAATGTTGTATTATAGTTTGATATAGTGTGTTAACTGAATTCAAATATGAAACGGTGGTTATTCTAAATCGTCAGTTTTTATAATTTATAGACATTGAAAAATATGTTTTAATGCTGAAAATAATTGTATGAATCTTTAAATAATCACATGCTTGACACCAATCCTAACGATCTAGAATCTATCCTTATTATTACTTTATTAATTAAGTACTAAAGAAAAGAGCAATAACTTGTTGATATATAACTTGATACTCAGTGCAATGAAGATAATAGATGCTCGTTTAAAGTTTGGATGTGTTGATAATTGAAATCGGAAACCTCTGTGATGGCCTATCTATACGTTCTTTTAGTTACTATAATACACCAGGCTGTATCTCAATGCATGCGCACCTAATCATTTGTGAATAAAATTTTAAAAAAATCGATCGAAAATGAAACAGGAAATTATTAGACATAGAATTCTCATTCTAGTTTACACAGATGAACTCAAATCAGCAGTATTTTTACCAATTTCGCTTCATGAATTGAATGAGTTTTTTTCTCCAAAAAAGAAATCATGACCTTTTGGCAACTCTTTTTGGAATATCATACGAGAAAACAAACAGACTTGTTGAAATCAAATATTTTTTTTTACATAGGTTCTAAATTAAAAAAATTGGACGAGTTGGGGTTCGAACCCAAGACTTTTCGCATGCAAAGCGAACACTCTACCGCTGAGTTACACGCCCACATTATATAGGTTGTGTATTTTTGAGTAACAATTGAGTCGCTATTTACAAGTATTTTTTCATGAAAACTGAATTTTCAATTATACGTTTAATTATTATTTTCTATGCAAATAATCAGCTTTAAAAAGTTAACTTTTGTAATTCTATTTATGAAATTGTTGGTTTTCTGTTCCTTCTAACAAAATTTCACAAGTTTTATTCGAACCTATGAAAAATTCCCATCTGTTCTTCTTTTAACATCGAGATTATCTCTTATGGAAAGTAATGCACCTATAGGTCAAGTTGCTCTTCCATAATATGTAGATTGCACTTTTTTTGGCTTACAAATATTTTGTCGCTGAACAATATTTTTTTGGAGTCAATAATTGGATACACATATGTATTAAGTATATTATTATACGATTCTCTCCACACATGAATCATATTGTGTCAGACTACGTAATTGGGAAACCGTTAGTAAATCAATAATATTGGATAATTTTTTTTTTGAAAATTACACGTCGGACTTCTGTAATTATACCTACATGGATATGAATCTGAATAAGTGCATTTGTACTTTCTTGAGGCTATTATTTTTATTATGACATGAACATGCACACTACCCTAGTGAAACTACTCGTCCAAGGAGTACTCAAAAAGTACTCATGCTAGAAAATGCCGCGAGTACTCATGAGTACTCGTAAGTTTTGAGTACTCGTTGGTCGTACTCACAATGAGTTTCGAGTAAATGAGTACTACAGTTCCTTACTGCCATGGAGGCGTATCCTAGCTGAGTACCACCATCGTTCTTTTCTTATAGTAAGTAGTTACTAGACTATTCACAGCCCAAGTTTGTTGCCCTTCGGAAGGGCTATGCAGACTCTAGAAGAGTCCACTTCTCTTCATTGCCACAGTGAGAGAACGAAATTATCTTCTTAAAGTTGTGAACATACCGTCTATAGAAAGTCAGCGCACGACATCCTTTTCGTCCTTACACATTTCTTTTTGTATATTGAGTTATATAGGAAAAAAAAACGACAAGTACTACAATAAGTACTCAGGGTCTTGCCTATGAGTACATTTATAGCGAGAGATTTTGTAAGTACGCATGTGAGTACTCGATTATTTTACACACTCGTGAATTTTCGAGAGTACTCGTTCGAGTAATCTGAGTACTCACGCTGGCAAGTCGTACTCGCTTGATGAGTATATTCACTAGGGTAGTTCTACATGAGCAATGACAAAATAAAAAGTACGTTTGCCCTCATTCAACAAAATTTTTTAAACCTGTCGAACGGTCGAAAAACCGAATGGCAAAATCTTATAAGAATGGTACGTCTGATCATAGTTGATCTGATAAGATCAAGTGAAAAACAGTATACAAAATCGTCGTCTCTAATTCCTTACAGAAAATCATGTTTGAAGATCCCTGAACGATTCTTCTACGCATAAAATATCACTGCAATTGATCAGTGAAAATAACATACATATAAGTTCTTTTAAAGAAAATGTAGTATGATCTGATGTAAGATTTCCGAGACGACGATTTTTTTCTCAGATTCTTATAAGATTTTGTCCATATTCTAGGATCTTATTTCCAATGTTTCGATCTGGGTTGTTTACCAGTGTCATTAAGAAGACAAATAGAAATCTATGTAGATGATTCCTCATCTTATCTAGTGCTTTTATAATTTCTCTGTCATAAGCCTCTTTTTTTTCTGGTTTATTCTTTGTAAACATATATAGTATTAGTGTGTACAACATGTCCTGATTTTTCAATAATACTCCTTTTCGATCGAACACGCGTGTAGACACTACATTTTTTTTACGCAGTTCAGCTTTTTCTTTTCGTTCTCCTATCTATTATATAGCAGGATAAAACAAAGCACTATTTTTACTCTTTTTTATGAAAGTGTGAAATCAATAACCTTAATGCTGGTCTCTACCTTGCTACTTCTGACAATATTTCTTTTTACTGCCTATTGGTATTTGAAATATGGCAACAAAAAGCATGTTCGAAGATTACCTGGACCCGAACTACAGTTTATTTTTGGTAACTTACGTAATACCGGTATCATGTCTGGTAATGTGGCATTTCATGAAGCTCTCGCTGCCCTAAAAGATAGATATGGCCATGTCTTCTCATTCTGGCTTGGACCCAATTATTCAATAGTACTCTTGCATATTGAGCACGTTCAGCAGGTCTTTGCAGATCGACATACATTTGGTATTCCAGAGACCACGAGACGCAGCTTTGGCGTTCTTTTCTCGAGTGGTATAATTGCATTGCGAGGAGATGATTGAAAGTGTCACGTGCGATTTATGTTACCTATGTTGAAACGAGTTAAAGTTTTGCCGTATACCGACACAATTGTTACTTGCACAGATCACTTTATCAACGAACAGTTAGCAAGACGAGACGGAGAAATCCATAAAGATCTCTTTGAAAAATATCAATGACTTCTTCTCAATATTATCGCCTTTATTGCCTTTGATTATGATCTCGAAGCTTCTTCAAAACCTGGTAATTATGATCTCCGAGATGCTTTTAATGATTTCGTTCGTCTTGGAATTCCGATACCGATCGGCAAATTAATGTTGAGATTAAGTTGGAAATATCAACGAGCATGGCGTACTGTAAGACACTACATGATAAATATGATTACTGAGGAACAGGCGCGACAACAACAAGGAATCTCGTCGAACAAGCCGAGAAATCTAATTGCTTCACTTGTCGCAGGTGCCGACGTAAAATCATTCACAGAAGAAGCAACACTGCGTTCGACCGAAGTATTCGATGAAGTATCTCTATTAACATTGGCCGGCTTTAAAACAACTTCAACTGCTCTTTCTTGGTTCATTTTCTATATGTCGAAGTATCTAGACATCCAGAAAAATCTCAAAAAAAGAACTAGCTGAACACAATTTAACACCCGATACACCACTCACATGAGATGTACTCGATTCATTAGTCTACGTTGAATGTGTAGTGAGAAAAGTTCTTCGTTTTGTACCAATTACTGTGGCTGTCACACGTCAAGCTACATGTGACACTACAATAGATGGTATTGAAATAAAAAAGGGGGATAATATTAAAATTGCTCTTCAGAATCTATATAAAGATCGTCGTTCTTGGAAAGTCGATCCATCACAATTTATACCAGAACGTTTTCTTAATGAAGATAAAAATCCATCTCATTGCGCCTTTTTGACATTTGGTACAGGTCATCGTGCTTATGCTGGTCAAGATCTTGCTTTTCTGGAATTAAGAACAATTGTTAAACGTTTAATGCAGCGTGTAACATTCTTGGATCCAAGTAAAGAAGCAGACAATTCGGGTGGATTCATTCAACACATCACATGTTTCCCAAAACAGTTTGTTGTACGAGTTATTATAGATTAAAATATAGCGATTACATGATTGAACAAAGAAGCTTTTTTTAAGACGAATTCATTCAGTTTTTGTCATATTATGAATAACATAAGTAAAATAAACTTGAAATTTTTTGGAGTGCTTCAATGACATGATGATTTTGATCTTCTATTGTGTTCAAATGAACATCTATCAGAAAACTCAATTTCTAATTTAACATAAAGGCAGCCTAAGAAATACAAAGACTAGTTGATTCATTATCACTGTTTCTGAGTTCTGTGTAGTTTTAAAAATGAAACTGTTCGAGACGAACCTATTGAAACATCCCTAATAAAAATCCTGTCCATATCCAATGAAACATATTATCAATATCTACAATACTCCAGCAACATGATCTTAATGAACTGTTTTTAGTCTGTAGCAACGCATCACGCGTTTGTTATCCAGAACATGACAAGATAAGTAATCTATTTCATTTACAATTCATCAACATAGCACAAAGTAATAAACTATTAACAGTCAATGTTACAACCATAAATAAAATATGCTACCAACAAGCTTTATTGAATATTCATCAAGTTTTTTTTTCCGAATGAATCATAAATTTTAATGATTTTAACCACATTCAGTCGACTCCAGAGATACGTAATGAAGATAAATGACAATTTGATTCCTTAGTTTTCGATATTAGAAATAGAGACTGTCGAGATGTACCAATCGTAAGATGTTCTGGTCGAGGACGAAGATTCACCAGCATTTTAATCGTCATTGATGTATATCTATATTTAAAAGTAACACTTCTTAGTTTATTTTGTTTTGATACCAATTGAAAACGTTTACTTTGTTCTAATGTCATATTCTCATTCCTATATGGTGTCAAGGATCCATAGGTCAATGTATCAATATGAGGTATTACAGATAACATATCTACTCAATCGTCAAAACCCAAAAAATTGCTGTCAATATTTAGTGTCGTAATTTGTTTCAAAGGAATAATATGTGGAAGATTATCGCTCGTAAACCAATTCGGACGAGAACAATAACCGCTGAAAAGAGTAAGTTAGTCAGCTTTTGGAAAATATATCGAGCAATTAGCAGTTGTTTCTACATCGTTAATAATAACATGACAAACTGATTCAAGAATAGTTGTTTGTTCATTTGTATCTTTATCTAAACATGATTTGTCAGTTAATGTTGAATGGACCATTTCATAATAATGCTTATAATATCTGAATTCATATGTCTGTTTAAAGAACTATCGTCGTTGAGACAAAAATCGAGAATTCAATTCGTTAAGTCTATACTCGAGATCAGGATCAATTTGCGCACTATACTGATATCAGAAAATCTGCAATTCAAATGTTCGTAAATACTACGGCATATCTAATAGAAACAATTGTTCCCATGGTTTAACTTGTAAATAAAGATATAATTCCGTTGTTGAAAAATATAATGTTTGCACTTAACGGAAATAGTTTTCAATAAACTGTTTGGGGTGCTCAAATTTTACTTCTTCTAATGTGAGAGAAACAAAAGTAAAATTATTTAAAGCAAATGAACAGTCAAATTTTCTTTTCTTAGAAAATGGCTGTATGCATTCTACTGATAAACTATGAAGTCGAGGAACACATGATAATATAGCGCTCAGCTCATAAAGATCACACTTCCCAATTATGATGAGATGTTCGATAGAAATTGATATATTAGTTGCTGTTGGTAATATTAAACCAAAGATACTTTTTTTTTGGCCTAAATCATGATCAAAATGAATGGCTAATGCAGAAAGATTTCGTAAACAAAGTAAACGAGTGAAAAGATGTTGTGTAGATTTTGGTCTGATGTTACGAAGAATTAGTGTTTGAAGTTGAGAGTAGGTTGAAATATCTTCTTTTGCAGAAAAAAAGAAATCAATAACGAATATATTTGATAAATTAAGTAGACAAATGTGGTGTTTATTTGGTTCTATAAAATGTATATAATAATCGTGAAATTGTGATTTAGATAAAGTTGAAATATTGATTTCGAGTGGAAAAGTTGAACCAATCAAATAATTTTGAAAACATTCATTAAGATTGAAAAAACTTTTATAAATGTCATAAGCATCAAGATATTCAAGAACTTCAGAAATAAGTTCAGTCGAGAGATCTTCAAAATGAATTACTGATTTTCTTATTAAATAATGAGTAGTAAGACGAATAATAAACCGTTTATCAATTTACTAATCTGTCCACATTGATTGTTCTTGTCAACGGATGTGACTTGCACTTTAGCTTTTTCTTCTCACTGCCATCCATCACTGTGATCTCTTTACTTTTTCTTTTACTCATATTGAAAATAATATTTTAAAACTAAAAGAACTTTTTGAAAGAATCTCTATAACAAATCGCTTTTTATAGTAAAATAACCATATGAATATTTTTCAGATTATTGATGCAATAACATATTTTCTTTGTGTCAATATTTAAAAGAACAAACGCCAAAATTTCTGAAAGAGAAAATGAAAAGGAAAGAAAGATATGAATTAGAGGTAACAGAAGGCATGATGATACATATTCCAAGTTTTATTGATTTATACATTGGTATTGAAGAGCTTGTTTCTTTAGGTTCACCACACGATATTATCCTGTCACTCTCACTACTTTTCGTACGCCTGAATTAGGTATCCTCTTATTGATTGTTTTCCCAATTCATATCATTTTTTTCGAAATGCTGACAACAGACAAACACATACCTGTGTGAAAATATATAAAATTAAGCAAAGTATTTTTTTTCATCTGCGTATAATGAGTAAATCAAAAAGATTAGCAGTTCATCTTTGACCAATATCACATTATCTCAGACTTTATTAACAAACTTACTGATTTTTCAGTGTGAATTATACTCGATTGTTATGATCTAAATGAACTGCTATTCAGTCACAGTAAAGAATCATTCTTTTCCTATCTACAATGTAACCATAGAACGGTAGTTTATTTCGTTTAGAATTAATCAACGTAGCAAAAAATAATTGATTATTGCCAATCAATCTTACAACCATAAGTAGCAATTTGAATCAACATGTTCTATTGAATATTCATCAGGTTTTTTTTCTGAACCAATCATACACTTTATTTTTTCAAACCACACGTTGTGTACTCTGACGAAACATAATGAAGATAAACGGCAATCTGATTCCCTACTTTTCGACATTAAAAATGCAACAGTTGGTCTAAAAGACAGTCCGAATGTACCGATCGTAATATGTTCTAGTAGAGGACAAAGATTAATTAGTATTTTAATGGCTTTCAATCTATATACACATTTAATAGTAAACCTTTTAATTTTGTTTTGTTTGGACACCAATTGAAAACGTTCACTTCCTTCTAATGATACATCCTCATCCCTAACGCGTGTGAGGGAACTATAGGTCAATGTATCAATATTAGGCATCACAAATAACATATTTACTAAATTGTCCAAATCTAAATCTTCGTTGCTAATATTTAGTTTCGTAATTTGTTTCAAAGGAATAATATATTGAAGGTTATCTATAGCAAACAATTTCGAACGAGCACGACATAACAAAGAAAGACTAAGTTGGTTTGCGTTTGGAAAATATTTTGAACAATCAGATGTTAATTCTGGATCTTCAATAATAACATGATCAACTGAATCTAGAATTGTTTTTTGTTCACACGTATTTTTCTCTAAACTTGATTTGTCAGTTAATATTGAATAGACCAGTACATGATAACGCTCACTAGATGTGAATTTATATGTCTGTGTAAAGAAGCATGGTCGTTGAAACCAAAATGGGGAACTCAATCCCTGAAGTCTAAAAAACTGATCACGATCAGTATGGACAGTAACAATAGAACCGGAAATATGCAATTTAAATGTTCGTAAATATGGCATATCTGATAGAATCAATTTTTCCCATCGTTTAGCATCTGAAGAATGAGAGTATGCTGTTGTTGAAATATATAATGTTTGAACTTGACAAAGATTCTTTCGAATAAATGATTCGAGATCATCAAATTGTGTTTGTCTTATTGTGAGAGAGACAGATGTCAATTTTTTTAAAACCAATGAATAGTCTGTTATTCTTCTATTAAATGGTTGTTGTATACAGTCTATTGATAAATAACGAAGTCGAGGAACACATAATAATATAGCAGCAAGGGTATTAAGATCACATATTTTAATTATGATGAGATGTTCAATAGAACTAAATGTATTAGTTGATGTTGGTAATATTGAAGAACGAACATTTTCTGAGAAGGATATTTTACAATATTTTAATATTGGTAACTGAAATATTAAATCAAAGATATTTATTTCGTCTAAATTATGATCAAAATGAACGGTTAATGAAGAAAGATTTGGTAAGGAAAATAAACGATTGAAAATTTTTTGCGTAGATTTTGGTTTAATATTAAGAAGAATTAATGTTTGAAGTTGAGAGTAGGTTGAAATATCTTCTTTTGCAGAGAAAAAGAAATCAATAACGAATATATTTGATAAATTAAGTAGACGAATGTGGTATTTATTTAGTTCTATAAAATGGATATAATAATCATGAAATTGTGATTTAGATAAAGTTGAAATATTGATTTTCAGTGGAAAAGTTGAACTAATAACATAATTTTGAAAGTGCATATTAAGATTAAAAAAACTTTGATAAATATCATAAGCATCAAGATATTCAAGAATTTCATAAATAAGTTCAATTGAAAGATCTTCAAAATGAGTTACTAATTTTCTTAATAAACAGAAGCAATAAGATGACTAATTTAGCATATTAACAACTTACTAACCTTTCCACATTGATTGTTTTTATTAATCGATTTGACTTCCCTCTTAACTTTTTCTTCTCACCGTCATCCATCAGAGTAATTTGTTTGCTTTTTCTTTTACTCATATTGAAATTAATCTTGTAAAACCTAAAGAATTTGTTGAAAGAATGCTTTTAACAAGCTTGTTTTTATAGCAAAATATATGAAGATATTTCAGATTGTTTGTGCAATTACATATTATCTTTTGTGTCAATTATAATATAACACAAAAGATACCAAAAATTCTTTAGAAGAAAATGCAGTAAACAAGAAAACATGAGTTGCAAGTCATAGAAAGTATGATGATGCATACTTCAAGTTTTAATGATTTATAAATATGATATTACACATATTAATTATTTTTTATATTTACGTATAATAAGTAAAACAAAAGGATCGACAGTTCATTTATGACCAAGATCACCTTATCTCAGAATTTATCAACAAAGTTACTGATTTTTGGATATAAATTATATTTGATCATTATGATCTAAATGAACTACTATTGAGTCACAGTAAAGATTAATGCTTTTCGCATCTACAATATAACTAAATCGATAGTTTATTTCATTTAGAATTATCAAGAACAGAAATAAATAATCACGATACAGATATCTATGACAATGTACGAAATTTGGATGAACAAATTGAAAATTTTTATTTAAATATAAATAGAAAAATTCATTATGATTGCCAATCATTTATTTCTATGTCCATTGACACACCAAAACCAATGCGTCATGGAATAGATTAAATCTTTTCGACTTCCTTTGACCTTGAGATATGAACCTATTTACTTTCATTCATTCATTCATATTAGATGATGAACATAGCAATGTCTTAAATTACATATAGATGCATACACTTTTGTGTGTGCAAACAGAGATAGCCAGCAGATTATTGTTGTTTTGTCTACATACACTTGAGTGAACAGCGTCTAATTGCAATGATCTTGTGCATACATATGAAAGACAATAGAATGATTATAGTAGCAATAATCAAATTCTCATTGTTAGCTATGTTTGGGAATATTTGTGAAGAATATTTAAATGATAATAATCAATCAATTAGATCATTTATTATTTTATGTAATTTAATTCACCTAAACAGTGATACTAATGCTTATCGAATAAAGGTTTTTTATCATTCATATATTCAACATTAAATAGTCAACTATAATCATCATTATACATACATTATTCATTCTGTAGAATTCTTGTCTTTTCTTGTTTGTTTTTTACGTTTATGAATAAATAGATCAGAAGAATATGTGTTCAGTGTTAATTTTTTCAACTGGGAGAACAAATTCTTATATTACAAGTATGAAATTTGAAAAATCCTTATTATCAAGTGTATTATTAATATACTATTTGACATTTTACAGACATGTATCGGATGTTTCTGTAACGTTTTCAATACAATCCCAAGCAGACAATCGATGGGCATTTCGAGGCCTCGATTTTAGACTTTCGCACCCATCGAAATACAAAATGTACTGTTCGGATTCTCACTTTCCGATGGGTCGAGGGCTCCGCGATGGGTAAGGAAATCACAAAGTTTTCGATCTCTCGAAATAATTTATCCGAGGGATCAAAATAAAAAGTTTTG